CTCTGACTACGATTCTGTCCGTACACGTTTCAGTTTATGAATGAATGATGTGGGTGAGTTTGAATATTTTCGAGTTGTAAGAGTTCCCGGAATGTTTTCATTGTTGTTGTTTCAGGTGGTTTGAAGTTTGTGTGGTTGGATAAATGTGTCGCCCTGTAACGTCAGCCAATGTGTTAGTGATACTGACTTGTGCTATGGACTTGAAATTGGGAACTGGAATAGAGCAGGGGTGGGCAACCTCGGCACTCCAGTCATTGTGGAACTACAACTCCCATGATGCATTGCAAGACTCTTGACAGCCACAGGCATGACTCCCAGAAGCATGGTGGGATTGTAGTTGTGGCTGAGGCTGCCCACCCCAGGTGTAGGAAATGTCAGCATGCAATACATTTTTGAACGTAGAATCTGTGACAGCAGAGATGATGTACAAAGAGTTGCAATCCATAGCAACCAACCAGAGTGTGAGTTACTGTTCTGCAATCAGGGAAATCTCGCTGGGTTACAGCTCCGTGTACGCTCAACTTTTTTTAAGCTGTATGAATATGCAAAAATTATAACTTTAAAACACATAAAATGTATAACTGAACTAGGCACAGTGCACAGCTGATTTACATATATTATTATTATTACCTAGTATTTATATAGCGCCAACAGTTTGCGCAGCGCTTTACAATGTAAGGAAGACATTACAAATAAAATACAATTCAAGACAAGATGGTAAGGAGGGCCCTGCCCCTGAGGGTTTACAATCTGAAAGAGGAGAGGGAAATGATACATGAGGAGGTAGCTGTGTGGGGATGAATTGTTTGAGAATGTGATGGTTCAGTGGTTAGGTTGAGGTGGGAGACTGTGCATTTGTAACACTGTTCAGTAGGTATTGTGATTCAGACACCCCTACCAGACAGCATAACCAGGTATATTGCTTCATTTTCCTCAGCTGTAGTAAAAAATTAACTCAGGGATAAGTAAATATTGTCCTCATACAAGAGCCATGTGTGTTCTTCTTGAATCTTGGTGAGCTTTGTGCATTTCTTCCAGATCTGTGCAGTCATCCAGTGCGAGATTTGGAGCTTCCTGTATTAAAAACAGCTCAATTCTGCTCTCTCTCCTTGTGCAGGGTGACTGGTCTTGTCTCCGTCCCCCTCCTGCAATAAAGACCAGTCACTGCTCCTTTCTCTCCTTGTGCAGGGTGACTGGTCTTGTCTCCGTCCCCCTCCTGCAATAAAGACCAGTCACTGCTCCTTTCTCTCCTTGTGCAGGGTGACTGGTCTTGTCTCCACCCCCTCCTGTAATAAAGACAAGTCACTGCTGCTCTTTTTCCTTGTGCAGGGTGTGAGTAGTGAGTGGGGCCATTTTGGTTCTGTCATTCAGCTCTGCTCTTTGCACATGCTTTATACAGCAAAGTGATGCTGTCACTACTACATTTACAAGGTAATATCTGTATCTGTATTTGCAAAGGCATTTGGAGCACACAAAGTAGATTTATATTTCTTTGGGACTATTGAGGAACATTTTTTATAAAGGTTTTGGTGGCTGGAATTCAGTTTTAAGTTTTCATAGATGTCTAAGGGTTAAATCACCGCCTTGCGATCCCGTGCGGCTGATCACATTGCAGGCAGAGGGTGTGGCTACGGTGCCATTCACTTCAATGGCCGGCCACGCCCCCTCCTGCACCACAAAATAGTGAGCCGGCCGCAATGTGATGCAGTGCGTTCCGGCCAGAATCGGGCCAGAATGCACTACATCTGGTGTGAACATAGCCTAAGAGCCCTCAGCCCTGATGCAAGCATGCTTGGGAGGAGTTCTGTAAATATCAAAATGTCTTGATGGGAGAGTGTCGGTCTGGAGGAGTGGGCGTTCCTGGGCAGGCTGTTTTTGCATACAATACATTCTAGGTAACACCCACATGAGATGCTGAGGTGCCAGCCCCCCCCCCCTCCCTACGTCTATAAAGTGTTCTTATTATCCAGTTTCCCAAGTCAGCAGCTGTTAGCTGACCTGGCTCCGGGGCGGTTTGCTCAATCCCGTCCCATTAGGAGACATTTGATGGTGGCTGGCAGACTTTGTACATAGCTGCTAACAGTTGTTCCGCAAGAGATAATTATACCGTGTTGTAGGTATTGATTGGTGGATTGCACTGAGATGACTTCAGTGTCTCAGTTTATTTTCGGGAGCCTCTTGTATGACAGTGGCGGGTCTTCTGAGTCTCCTTGAACTTCACTGACATCATCACCCCGTAAAACTCTTTTATGGCATCCCCTAGATGCTTCAGGGAGGCGGACCACATGGCAACATTGACATTTTGGATTACACTGATGTGCTGTAGGTTTAATGAGAAGAAACTCCACCCCCTTCATGATAAAGCCCCACCCTTTGATACCCATTGACATCACTGGCATGTTTATAGTGAAATGGTTGCACCTTCACTTCCCCCAAGAAGAAGATCACAAGGATATTGGAAGCTACCATCCAAAAACTCTTTTGTAATGTTCCCGAAAAGAGGTTTTTCTTAAAGGGCCAGTTCAGCCAGAAATGATATTTCAGTGTTCGATAGATGCTGGAGGGGCAAACTGCCTGGCAGTCACTTCCGTTTCTCAGGGACTCCTGCACACCTGCACACCTCTTCTGCCCATTTTGGGGGACTTCCACCATCCCTGGGTTGAGTTCCCAGGTCTGTAGACCTGCTGTGCCCAGTATGAAGGGCTCCCACCTTCCCTGTGATTATTTTTTTTACGGGTCTGCACACCCGATGTGCAGATTATAAGGGGTTCCCGGCATCCCTGAGCTGAGTTCCCAAGTCTGTACACCTGCTGTTCCCATTATGAAGGGCTCACACCTTCCCTGTGATGATTTTCCGGGTCTGTACACCTGCTGCGCCCAGTATGAAGGGCTCCCACCTTCCCTGTGATGAGTTTCCAGGTCTGGCATCTGAAGTCCCGTTGTGATGAGCTCCCACCATCCCTGTGCTGAGTTCCCGGGTCTGTACACCTGATGTGCCCATTATGAGGGGTTCCCACCACCCCTGAGCTAAGTTCTAAGGTCTGCACATCTGATGTGCCCATTATGCAGAGCTTCTACCATACCTGCACGGAGTTCCTGGTCTGTACACCCCCTGTGCCCATTATGATGGGTTCTCACCATCCCTGCGTTGTGCTCCTGGGTTTGCACACCTGCTGTGCCCATTATGAGGAATTCAAATCATCCCTTGTGCAGATTTGACAATATTAAAAATGACGTCTCTATTGGTCAAACAGAATCATCACCATGCCATTGGAAAGCTTTGCTCAATAAATGTTTACTACAGTACTAAGTGTTTGGAGACTTGAAACCAGAAAACGATCATCAACAGCTGAAGGGATGCTTACAAAATTGCCACAAATTTTCCATCTGTGGCCAGTATTTAGCTTTTTTGATTCAACTCTATGATCAGCAAGCCTTTACTCAGCGCTTTAGGTTTGACCAAAAATAAGGAATTAAATGATGACATTAAAAAAAAAATAATAATAAGCTATTGCAATGAAAAGCAAACATGAAAACTGCATTGCGTTGAGTTACAGAAATTTTTAAGGTTTTAGATTAAAATTTCACATTTATCTTTCAGATTCTAGGTGGGTGGGCATGTTAAAGAACCAATGTCACTTGACCCATTTAGGTCAAAGTGAGAAGGTCTGCAAATAACCCACCTAGCCAACCATGCTCTTTTTCCCTGCTACCTCTCCACACAGCCAGACCTCTTGCGATCAGCGTGGCGCGTCTAGATATGTGACAGCTTATGACCTCACCTATGTGACTTGAGACTGAGAAACCAATCGTCAGGTCAAAACTTACATGGTGGGAGTCAAAGTGAGAAGGTCTGCACATGGCCCTTGTACCCAGCCATGCTCCATTGCCTTGCCACCTCCCCACACAGCCAGGCCCCTTGCAAACAGTGTGGAGCATCTGGGTATGGGACAGCTTATGACCTCACCTATGTGACTGAGCATCCAATCATCCTTCAATCCTGCTTATAGCATCACAGTTCTTATTTCAGAGCCGGCGACTGAATGACGCTCCTTGAGTCTGACACAAGCGACATCAGCACTTTTGACGTGTGTCTTATTACAGAGGGCTGACATACGTTTCTCCTCATCTCCTGTTCTAGTGACAACTTTCCATCACATTGTGTCCTGAAGACACTGGAACAAATATTGAGAGTGAATCTCCGCTTTATTTTTCTGTTATGGCTAGAGTTGGGAAGGGTAAGAGCCTTTCTCAGGTTTCATTGCTGTCTGAGGCCTCAATCAGGAGATTTTGTCTCAGGAAGTGTGGTAGAATGTCCAACATGGGCATAGGCAGGTATAAAGAAATGACAGGGTTCTAGCTTTCCTCTACTCTACTAAAACACAGTATGTTTCATGCTGTTAGTGTCCCTCTTGGAGATTTTCCTTCGCTTCCTATCTTGGTGACACGGTGCCACAAAGAGAGGTAAAAACAGAGGTTCTAACCCAGGTGTCATCAACCCCCGTTTTGGTCCCCGCTGCCATTGGCTGCAATTGAGAACTCACTGGAATGTGAACTACAAAGTGTGGTTTACCCACCTCCCTGATGTCACTGAAAGCCCACTGGTGGCTGAGAAGGATGGCATGCTGTGCGCACATCCACACACCTAAAGAGGTACCCTACATTCCTAAAGGTACAGAGTTTGGGGCTGATTTGAGGTCTGAAGTTTATGAATTGGGGGCTGATCTGGGGTGCATGCATTTGAAATGATCTGAGGTTTGGGCTTGATCTGAGACATAAAGTTCAATGTATTGGAGCTAGGTGCAGGAATTGGGGATGATCTGAGGTGTGACGGTGCATGAATTGGGGGTGATCTGAGGTGTGAAGGTTCAGGAATTGGGTGTGAGCTGAGGTGTGAAGGTGCAGGAATTGGGGATGATATTAGGTGTGAAGGTGCAGGAATTGGGGATGATATGAGGTCTGAAGGTTCAGGAATTGGGGATGATCTGAGGTGTGATGTTGCAGGAATTGGGGGTGATCTGAGGTGTGAAGGTTCAGGATTTGGGGGTGATCTGAGGTGTGAAGGTTCAGGAATTGGGGATGATATGACGTGCGAAGGTTCAGGAATTGGGGATGATATGAGGTGTGAAGGTTCAGGAATTGGGGATGATATGAGGTGTGAAGATGCAGGATTTGAGCTGATCTAAGGTGTGAATGTGCAGGAATTGGGGATGATATGAGGTGTGAAGGTGCAGTAATTGGTTATGGTCTGAGGTTTGAATGTACAGGAATTGGGATGATCTAAGGTGCAGGAATTAGGGTGATCTGATGTGCAAAGGTGCAGGAATTGGGGATGATATGAGGTGTGAAGGTGCAGTAATTGGTTATGGTCTGAGGTTTGAATGTACAGGAATTAGGATGATCTAAGGTGCAGGAATTGGGGTGATCTGAGGGGTGCAGGTGCAGGAATTGTGGTGATCTGAGGGGTGCAGGAATTGGGATGATCTGAGGTGTGAATGTGCAGGAATTGGGGCTGGTCTGAGGTGTGAAGGTGCAGGAATTGGGTTGATCTGAGGTCTGAAGTGCATGCATTGGGGCTGAGCGTGTTTTTATGTGTGCACCAGTGCATTGATTTTTGCACTCATAGCTGTGCTGCTAATGACAAGTTAAACTCACCAATTATTTTAATAATTTACTAACTTGCCATTAGCCGTACATCCAAAGTGCAAAAACTGAAATCAGAGACTACAAGGTGCTATTGTTCACTGAATGCCACTTATCTAATGCTGGGGAACATGACACTTAATGTGGAAAAGGTTGCTGACCCGTTCTAACTCTTCCCCAATCTATCCTAAGCTGGGAAAAAAATGTTTAGTCTGGAGATACGGTTTAATATCTCGGTGTACACAGGAAGGTTGGCGGTTTCAGCTCCTATACCAACAATCATAATAAAGGATTGTTGTAAATAAACGCTTTCAGATATTTACTGTTCTATTGCATTCCTTTTCGGAAGTGCTGACGTTACCGTCTGGGAGTTGTTTACACGCACGCGGGTGTTTGAAATTTTTCCTGTTAATTGCACCGTGCGGAACAGAGACATTATGCTTATTCTTATTGAAACAACGATTTGTGATGTTTTGTTTGCACATTCCGTGAAGATATTCTATACGGTGTGTGTAAACATGAAGGCAAATGGAGGGGCTCGGATCAATATTGCATTTAAAGAAGGACTGAACTTCAGATAGATAAAATACACAAATTAATGCAGCTCTATATTTATATTATTACATCATTAAATGTATTTTTAAATACAAGCTGTGTAAGTACCCAGAGCTGTACTGTGATATAAGCCAATTGAGATGCCCATCTAGGGTGGCACTCATAGACGTATGGGTGGGGGGTGGCACTGAGGCTGGACTGTCCATACCAGATAATCCATCCATAGTGCAGCTCAGTAACACTGAGCCTAATAAAATCACAGAATCTGCATTACTGACCACCCTGCCTGGCCACTGTGTCTGACACACAAGCAGACCCATGGTGACCATCTCCAGGCCCATCATCCGCAGAGGACATTGCATGTACAATGTCCTCTCACAACATCATAATATCCTCCCACCGATCTCATACCTCTTACAATGTCCTCTCACGACAGCATTTAGTACAAAGTCCGCTCACCAACATCATCACATAAAATGCCCTATCATCAACATCATTATGTCCTCTCACAGACCTCAAACCTTGTACTATGTCCTCTCACCTACATCATTACATACAAAGCCCTCTTACCAACATCATTACATACAATGTTCTCTCATCAACATCATAATCACATAAAATGTCCTCTCATCAACATCATCATCATCACATACAATGTCCTCTCACCAACATCATCATCACATACAATGTCCTCTCACCAACATCATTGTGTCCTCTCACTGACCTCATATAACATACAATATACTCTCACCAATATCATCATCACATGCAATGTCCTCATATCTTGTACAATGTCCTCTCACCAACATCATATATTTTATAATGTCCCTCATCAACATCATTACATACATTGTCCTCTCACCAACATCATAATGCTTCCTTCCTTTTTTATTGAGTCACTTGAGATATGTAAACTGAAAGTTCCACCATCCCTGGCTGCAAGCTTGCAAGCAAAAGATGAAGATGCCCTGAATCTTCGGATTCGAATATCCTGGTGCCCAACCTGCTGCTCCTCCATTCTTTTTGTGTATCCCTCAGTCCCCAAAAGGATATTAATGGTAGAGATGCATTGATTTGTAAAGGGGCTGTAAGAAAAGTGACTTCTAGCAGGGTTGTGTAACATGTCCACAGTCTTGCCATCTCATACAGCATGTCTCCAGTCTTTCAGCCACAACTCTAACTTGGGCACCGTCTCTGACCATCTCCTATAGCATGTCTGCAGTCTCTGACCATCTCCTATAGCATGTCTGCAGTCTCTGACCATCTCCTATAGCAAGTTCACAGTCTCTGACCATCTCCTGTAGCAAGTTCACAGTCTCTGACCATCTCCTATAGCAAGTTCAGTCTTTAGGTAGGATGTCCTTGAAACATGCCTTATCCACTTGCTGACCGGAGCAATTTCTTACATTTGCACACACATGATAAAATCAGAATTGTTGGCTAGAAAACAGCTTCAAACCCCCAAACAATTCTATATTTTCTGAAAGCGGAGGCCCTGTAGAATATAAAGATGCTAGTTGCAATTTTTTATGTCGCACGGTATTTGCACACGTTTATCAAACCAGTATTTTTAGGATAAAATACACTAAAATGAAATTTAGTGCACAGAAACAGAATATAATGCCCAATGTTTTGGTAAAATATAAAAGACGGGGTCACGCCGGGTAAATAGATACCAAACATGTAAAACCCTAAAATTGCGTGCGTCCGTGAAATCACAAAAAACTACAATAATCAAAATTTCCCATAGGTGATGCTTTAAACGCTTTTACGGCTCATCTGTTTAGCGCTAACAGTGATTGATGGTCCTAGAATTATTGCTCTCACTCCGACGCTCGCGACTATATATATAACATGTGTGGCGCAATTTTTGTTTTTGCACGTAGGTGCATCCGACGCGTGTTTGTGTTCTATGTGCGTGCATATTTTCTTTTATGTTATTTTAATTTTTTTACATTTTTTTTACACTCAGTTTTATTGCTATTGCATAGACGGCTAACAAACCCCCTATGTAACAGCAAATGTATTGTGACAGGTCCTCTTTATGGTAACATCAGGGGTCTTTCAGACCCTTAATGTCACCTAGGGACTCCAAAGAAGCTGATGAAGCAGAGATCTGCTTCCCCAGCTTCTTCTCCTGGCTCTAGGAGCCTGAGACTGTGGCAGTGACACCGGAAGTGATGTAATGCACATCACTTCCGGGTTCAGTGATCGGAGGAGAGATCAGTGGAGGCTTCCATAGCTTTCTACCATGACGGGTGCACATTTAGTTAACACAATTATGTTTTGGAGATCTAATGAACACTATAGAGCAAAAATATCAACATATTCCTATGGGCTCTTGGATTCAGACGATGTCTAAAGCATGCTTATCCCTAAACCTTGAAGCGTTTACGATTTTAATATTTATAAGCATGAAACATAACGCTAAAATAAAAATGGGGGCGAGCTGGCCTTTTCATTTTCTCATAATGGAACTTATCTGAGAATAAAAGACCTTCTTTATTTTGGGTCATTTAATCGACCGCTCGTATGAACTCGCCATCAATGGAGAACCGGGATTGCCAAGTAAACCTATTACGTCCCAGCTTAACGTAGCGCCCTGCGTCAAAGGAATGAGAGAAATAAATAATTGCTCGATAACATTCAGCATGTGAAGTTGTACAAAGCTACTTTGATGTGTAGAGCAGGGGGGGATTACGAGGGGGATTATGCTATTAAGAGAGTGAAAGAGGGCCAATACACTGCGCAACGCAATTCACGCATTCCACTCAGAGATTATGCAAAGTCTGAAAGCAGATTATTGTGCAAGAAATTTGCTCTACGAATTGTCAGGACGGTCAGACAAATTCCTCTTTTGCCTCCTCCGACTGTCGCATACTCTGTGTCAGTTTCTGGAGAAGGCGCCATACTTGTCAATGCATTCAGCCACGTTACTTCTTATTTCTTCTGTTCAGTTTTATGTATGTTTAGTATAATGGAACACCTAGCCAACAATTGGTCCCCGTTCACACCTAGGCGTTCCGTGAACATGCACCAAACGTAGGAAAACATGCACGCTTTCACTTCCTGTCCTAGGGCAGCAACGCTCACTGCTCGGCATCCATAGAGGAGCACTCTATTCACAAAAAGGTGAGGAGTTTGGAGAAGGCAGGAGAAGTGAACAATCTAGGACAACATCGCTGAACTGGAAAGTGAGCTGAATTTGTGAATAGACCTGTAAGTAAAACTCGGCTTACTCCAAGGTCCTGTAGTGACCTTTCCTGCCAGTTGCAGTAGTGAAGATCAGTCCCATGAAGCCTCTCTTCTTGCCAGACTCTGACCAGTTACATTGCTGACTCTTTTGCCCACATCATCATGTACAATGCCCTCTTACCAATATCATCATGTACAATGTAATCTCACCAACATCATAATCACATACAATGTCCTCTTGCCGACATCATCACCACGTACAATGTCCTCTCACTGACAAAATCACGTGCAATGTCCTCCCACCGACCTCATATCTTCAACAATGTCCTCTTATCGACATAATTACGTATAATGTCCGCTCACCAACATCATCTTGTACAATGTCCTCTCACTGGACATCGTCACATAAAATGTCCTCTCACCGACCTCATACCTCATACAATGTCCTCTCACAGACCTCATACCTCGTACAATGTCCTCCCACCGACCTCATACCTCGTACAATGTCCTCTCACAGACCTCATACCTCGTACAATGTCCTCTCACAGACCTCATACCTCGTACAATGTCCTCTCACAGACCTCAAACCTCGTAGAATGTCCTCTCACTAACATTATCACATACAATGTCCTCTCACCGACCTCATACCTCATACAATGTCCTCTCACAGACTGCATACCTCGTACAATGTCGTCTCACAGACCTCATACCTCATACAATGTCCTCTCACTGACTTTATACCTTGTACAATGCTGTTTTACCCACATCATCACGTACAATGCCATCTTACCAACTTCCTCGCATACAATGTTCTCTCACCAACATCATAATCACATAGAATGTCCTCTCACAGACCTCAGATCTTGTACTATGTCCTCTCACCAACATCATCAGGTACAATGCAATCTCACCAGCATCATCACGTACTATGCAGGACCAGTGGCGACCACTGGTCCGCCATTGTACATGATGACATAGCTGGGGAACCAGAGCGTAAGTTGCTGGCAAGCCCTGTAAGACCATGCCTAACGGCAGAGTTACGACTGTGCATGCGCATAGGCCTGTTCACCACATTTGCGGGAAGCAGCGGCTACTGCGCATGCGCAAACGGCAGCTACTGCGCATGCGCAAACGGCACATGGCGC